GGATGAAAATACACATATATCAGAGGTTAAAAGGATGTGTGCTACATTCGATGTTTTGCAGGTTGTTTCAATGTTGAAAGAGAGACTTGGAGTAGAAACAGATAAAAATCTTCCCATGGTGGATTACAGGTTATTTCCACAATGATATACTGATGCAAACTTGCATCTATAATCTTCTAAGTCATTTGATCATTTCCAAATATTAAGAAAACTTGAAAATCTTCATGTTTGGATTTCGTTGTAAAATGGGAAATTGTGTGGATGAAAATGGACTTGTAGCTATTTAATATGGTCAGGAATTTTTTCATTTGTACTCATGAAGTCAGAATCCTTAAGTTCTCCTATATTGTGGCACATTTATGTATATTTCTGTTTACTTATTCTATTTTACTGATTCCCTGCTCAAGGTTGCTCTTTCTGATTAATAAGAACTTGAAACTAGGTCATATTAACGGTCTAAATGTAATCTGTTTGCATGATTAATCACAGAAAGTATTCCAGAGTTAGGAAATGGACCATTGGAATGTCAGGTGGTAAAGACTTGATAGCTCTTATCCGAGCCTCAGGGAGTATTAGCCGTATTGAGGGTCCATTGAGTGTGTCAGGCTCAGGGATCATTGGAGAGAAGTTTATTGAGAAGATTCGCAGTGTGAGAGGTACACTTGATATTTTAGCTTATCTAAATTAAACACGGGAGACCAAGTAAAATTTGCTATAAATAGTGAAATGTTAATGCTTATTATGCTTGACTTCCTGATTATAGTGGTTGAAATTTAAGTATCAATTTCATTAATGTTCTCTTGTTTAGAACAATTACACAAATCTTTACAAAATGATGTGAAGCAAGATATTACATTTCTATGCTACACAACTTGTTCAGATGTATGGTTTCGTCCCCAAGACTTGAGGCCTGAAAGTGGAATCTGTAACATTTGTTATATATGATTTATGAGATTTCTCAGGTCTCAGACACCAAGGAAGAGAGACTTACTGGCCAGAGAAAATTTGAGGGATACAAGTAAACGCAAATAATTTTGTACATGATAAATATATGTCTGGCAGAACCACTCATTTTGTATGTTCGACCATGTGGAGTGTGGGGGTTCAATTCCGTTCATATGGAATGCTACATTAGGATTGTAACCTGGGGGGATTATCATGATCTTCATTGTTCATCTTTGGTGTGGTTTAACAAACCTGAAACCTTTGACAGTATGTTTATTTTCGTGAACTGGTAATGAGAATAACGTTGTCTCCTGGTCACATTTGAATTCTTTTGCTCTTCAGAGTCCAAAAAATACAAGGCTGCTATTATCCGAATTGACAGCCCAGGAGGTGATGCTCTTGCGTCTGATCTGTAAGTGCTGGTAAATTTCCCTCCAAATTAATTTTATGTATGAAAATTGCTCTGTTGATATGGGAATTGTAAGAAATTGTTGATTATTCGTTGATACTTTTGAGTTTAAAAATTAATCATATCCTTAATAATCTGTCTAAATTTAAAGTAGGTGATTTTGCATTTGAGAAAGGAGTGTGCAAGAAGGATAACCTGCAGGTTCAGCTAATCATACTCTTGGGTCATGATCTGCAGGATATGGAGAGAAATCAGACTTTTGGCTGCTTCAAAACCAGTCATTGCTTCAATGTCTGATGTGGCAGCAAGTGGAGGTTATTATATGGCAATGGCGACAGGAACTATTGTTGCAGAAAGCCTTACTTTAACTGGTTCAATTGGAGTGGTTACAGGTGAACTTAGCTGCTTTAATGGGGAAAGAATTGGGGCACGGAGATAGGATGATTTAAATAGAAGTCTAAAACTAATACTGTCTGTTCTTGTTCAAATAAAGAAAAATATAGAGAACTAAAAGAAACATTGTGCAAGTATCATACGAACAACATGCATGTAAAAAATGTTGAATGATTGAGGAACTTGCCTACATTCGTTTTGAAATCTACACTGGCATTGCTCAATTTGCGATATTCTTTCTACATGTTCCAAACAAAAATCATTGTGTTTCCATCTACCATTTTGCTCAAGACAAACAAATTTGCTCAGTAGCTAGATCAACTGAGGCAAGGAGGGGTATGTGCAAGACTGTACTATGCTGATTTGATAACTCTGCATGCTCCGGAATACCAATAACTGACACATGCACCCCGCCCCCCAAACATATGTTGTTGTAATTCTATATGCACATGATACTGCGTGTTAGATGTTACACATTAAGAAAGAGTAAGATGAAATAAATCTTAATTATTGGGTATGATATATGTTGGAATACTAACCCCCTCATAATATGGGAATTAGCATCCTCCGTATTATATATATTAAACCTAAAAAACCATTTATTTCTTTGAAAAATGCAAGAGCATTTAGGTAATTTTCTTAACAACGAATTTCTTAAAAAAATTAAAACGTCTTCCATTTATTGTATGTGCAATTTATAGTCTGTTACTGTGATTTCATTTTCTTTTAGGAAAATTTAACCTGGGTAAACTGTACGAGAAGATTGGATTTAATAAGGAAATCATATCAAGGGGAAGATATGCTGAGCTCTTTGCAGCAGAACAACGCCCTTTTAGGTAATATGGCCCGGTAAAAATTCTTTTGGAGAAGAGAATATTAACCATTGCACCATGCCAAAAATAAGAATCCAGGAACTGCATAGTACTCTAAAACCTTTTTTTTTTTTTTTCCTTTTGGCCAACTCTAAAAACACTGAATGTTAATTTTTGGTTGCGAAACTGTCTTCAATTCTTCTTCTGAGTCAGGCTTCTGATTAGATACTGTATACATTTCCTTTTAGATGTAAAATCTTGCTCAAAATATTCCAGCTATCCTCGCTGTGGGCCTTTGTTTTGGGTTTAAATGCTATGGCCTTCGTTTTGTCAATTGTCCTCCGCAGGGTTATAATATCTCGATTATATCAGCTCATGCATGATGAATGTGAGACGGGCAAATATTTTATCTTATCTTTATTTGCTTGTGCAGACCAGAAGAAGCTGAGTTATTTGCCAAGTCTGCACAGCATGCTTACAAGCAATTTCGAGATAAGGCAGCGTTTTCCAGATCCATGACTGTATGTTTTGACTGTCATTCTATTCCTTCTCTTTCTTTTCTTCATCCCTGCTGATTCAAGTGAGAGATGCTGTTTTTCGTCAATAGGTGGATAAGATGGAAGAGGTTGCACAGGGGAGAGTTTGGACTGGTGGTAGAGATGCAGCTGCAAGGGGTTTGGTTGATGCCATTGGTGGGCTTTCTCGTGCGGTAGCCATAGCGAAATCGAAGGCCAATATACCTGAAGACAAGCAGGTTAATTCAGAAATGCCTTTTTGGTTGGCAATCAGCATATATGGTCGCATGTTGAAAACAAGTTCTGATGGTGATTCTGTAATTGTGAGACATATACCAGGTTACAATTGTGGAGCTCTCAAGAACCAGCCCTTCTCTACCAGAGATTTTAAGTGGCATTGGGAGTACCCTGGCTGGAGTAGACAGAACATTGAAGGAACTGGTGCAGAGCTTGACATTTCCTGATGGGGTTCAAGCCCGGATGGATGGCATCATGTTTGAGAGATTGGAAGGATATCCTTACGCCAATCCCATATTGACATTGATAAAGGATTACCTTAGTTCCCTGTAACCAATTTATTGTTCATTTCTTCTCATATCTCTTTTTCCGGCCAAAGAAGTTGCCCATGGTTGTACTTGTCCCCTCAGTCGTCTTCTCCAAATGCCAATCCTTGAACATGCATGCAGCAAAGTTCCTTCAATACATGTAGCTATATTCCCTTGTCCATGTTGTGTGTAATAACAATGTATTTGCTACGCTCAGAGTCCTCACACGCCTCTGTGAAAATCCATGATTACGAGTATTCCAGCTACTGACGCTTTCTTTTGCTCAGACAACTAAACCATGGTTTGATAATGAAGTAAATAAATAACCATTAAAAACAAATGAATAAATGAATAAATAAATATGTTATTTGAACATCATTTTAAAATAGGGAAAACATAATCATAGGTTTTTATAGTTTCATCAGGATTTGCTTCTAATCCTTATAATTTTTTCTACTGTTTTCAGTATTTATAGAGATTAAAAACACTAAAAAACTGAAATTATATGTATCTAAATAATAAGTGTCACCAAATCTTTATGAAACTGAACTGAAAACATTGAAAAAAAAAATCTGAGTCTAAAAACAAAACCAAGTGAAACTAAAGAAATAAGCATTTTTAATTGAATTTCATCTTTTAATAAAATAGTTACTTATTTTTAAATTAATCTTATTTTTTTATATTTTTTTATTAAACATGTTATAATAAATATAAAATCATTCATCAATAGAAATGTTTTTGAAAAAAGGTAATGATTATACCTCAAAAGATTAAAAATATTTTACATTTTTTAATATCTAACTTTTTTAAAAAATACCTTGCATTTGTAAATGAAGGGAGTATATAATTATCTTTTTTCCTTAAAATATTATTTTCTAACATGGTTATCACCAAATTTCTTTTATTGCAATGTAAGTAGAAGATTTTTAAAAAATATTAACAACACATCCCATAAAAAATAATTTCAAGTTATATTACTTAAAAAATTACGTTTTTTTCCCACAACAATATTTACAAGTTAAAAATCTTATAATCCCCTTATCTATACGAGCTAGACAATTAATTTATGAAATTAAAAAATAGTTAAATTAATTATTTGTTGATTTTTCTGAAATACTTTTTTTAATTATTCGCACCGTAAACTAACTTTTGGGATGGTTTGGAAAAATTATAAACTTAAAAGATAAAATAAATTAAAACTTTACATTTAAAATCAGAATAAACCTATCAAGTATCAACCAACTCTTACGTATAAATGACAGGAGGGTAACTTAGCGCTTTCGTTAGTTCATTTGCACAGGAAGGACACTGGATGGCTCCCTAATTTATATGAGAAAGATCATGATTATCCAAAAATAAAAGTTTATTTTTTATTTAGAAGAAGAAGAAGAAGAAGAAAAACTCGTGAAATTCCAATACCGGACGACCACACCACGGGAAATCTAGCTTAGATCGATGTGCTGATAGTGTTACTGTTGTTACTCCCTCTCCAATTACAGAGGATGCAGATGGCTTCCCTGTCGCCACCACTGTCATGCCATCACAACCAGAAGGTTCCCTTTCTTCGCAAAATAACTTCTGTACCAAATAACAATCCTTTCCGTTCAATTTTGATTCCAAAAGCATCTCTTTCTCTCTCAAGACAAACCCAGCCAAAAAATCGCCTTCCTTTTACCGACAACTTATCTCATCAGGCTTCTTATCTTCAACACATACACGAGCTTTGCGAGTCCGGGAACCTCAATGAGGCTCATACTTTCCTGAGAGAAGATTTTGACAGTTCTGTTTCCGCTTCAGAGCAGAAAGGAGAAGCTATGGTGGTCTTACTTCAGGCTTGTACGCGCTATAAAGACATCGAGGTTGGTCGGAAAGTTCACGAAATGGTCTCGGCTTCGACTCAATTCAGGAACGACTTTGTTCTTAATACCCGTCTAATTACTATGTACTCTATGTGCGGGTCCCCCTCGGATTCTCGTTTCGTTTTTAATGGCATGCAGAAGAAGAACTTGATTCAGTGGAATGCGCTTCTTAGTGCCTATGCCAGAAACGACCTTTTTCATGATGCAATTTTGTTGTTTGTCGAGTTGATCTCTGCTACGGAATTCAGTCCGGATAATTTCACCTTGCCTTGCGTGATTAAGGCGTGCTCTGGACTTTTGAACCTGACTTTGGGCAAGGTAATCCATGGATTAGCGGTAAAGATGGCTTTTTTCTCGGATGGATTTGTGGGTAATGCATTGATTGCAATGTATGGAAAATGTGGGTGTATCGAGGAAGCTTTGCAAGTGTTTGAATGTATGCCTGAAAGAAACTTGGTTTCTTGGAATTCGATTATGTATGTATTTTCGGACAATGGGCTTTCTCGGGACAGCTATGATCTATTTGAGGGGCTTCTTAATAGCGAGCAAAGTCTCATACCGGATTCTGCTACTATGGTGACGATAATACCTGTATCTGCTTCTAAAAGTGAAGTGAACACGGGGATGTTACTTCATGGTTTGGCTTTAAAATTGGGTCTGAGTCAAGAATTGATGGTGAACAATTCCCTAGTTGACATGTATGCAAAATGCGGCTACTTGCCTGAAGCGCATATTCTGTTTGATAGGAATGATCAGAGAAATGTGGTTTCTTGGAATTCCCTGATTGGGGGATACTCTAAAGAAGGAGATGCTCATGGAACATTTGATCTCCTGCGAAAAATGCAGACGGAAGATGAGATAGTGGTAAATGAGGTGACCCTGTTGAATGTCCTGCCAGCTTTTTTAGATGAGTTCCAACTGAGGAGCTTGAAAGAACTGCATGGTTACGCTTTCAGGCATGGATTTCAAGATTATGAATTGGTTGCCAATGCTTTTGTTGCTGCTTATGCAAAGTGTATGTCACCCTCCTATGCTGAGCGTGTCTTTCATGGCATGAAGACTAAAACGGTGAGCTCTTGGAATGCATTAATTGGCGGCCATGCACAAAATGGTTTTCCTGGAAAGGCTTTGGACTCGTACCTTCTAATGACAGAATCTGGCTTAGATCCTGATTCGTTTACTATAGGAAGCCTTCTTCTAGCCTGCGCCCACCTGAAACTACTACAATATGGCAAAGAGATTCATAGCTTTATGCTGCGTAATGGCCTTGAGTTAGATGAATTTGTTGGAATATCATTACTGTCACTTTACATTCATTGTGAGGAAATACTACCAGCAAAACTCTTGTTTGATAGGATGGAAGACAAAAGTGTAGTAAGTTGGAACTCAATGATTAGTGGTTTTTTGCAGAGTGAACTTCCTGTTGAAGCCATTAACACATTTCGTCAAATGCTTTCAAATAGAAACCAACCTCATGAGATAGCCATAATAGGTGTCATTGGGGCTTGTTCACAGCTATCAGCTCTGCGTCTGGGGAAAGAAGTTCACTGCTTTGTGTTAAAAGCTCACCTAACAGAGGACACCTACATTAGTTGTTCGCTGATAGACATGTATGCAAAAACTGGGTGCATGAAACAATCTCGAAACATTTTTGACAGGGTAAAGGAGAGAGATGAAGCATCATGGAATGTTATAATTGCAGGATATGGAATTCATGGGCATGGACATGAGGCTATAGAGCTATTTGAAATGATGCAAACCTCAGGCTGCAAGCCAGATTCTTTGACATTTATAGGACTTTTAATGGCATGTAGCCATTCTGGCTTAGTAACAGAAGGGCTAAAATATCACCGTCAGATGCAGAGTTTGTATGGTATAGAGCCCAAACTAGAGCACTATGCTTGTGTGGTAGACATGCTTGGTCGAGCAGGCCAGCTGAATGAAGCCTTAAAACTTGTGAACGAGATGCCTGAGGAACCAGATTCAGGGATATGGAGTTCATTACTTAGTTCCTGTAGGAATTATGGTGATTTGGATATTGGGGAGAAAGCTTCCAGCAAGTTGCTAGAGTTAGGGCCAGAAAAGGCTGAAAACTATGTATTGCTATCAAATTTGTATGCTGCGCTGGGGAAATGGGATGATGTGAGAAAAGTGAGGCAGAGGATGAAGGGGATTGGCCTTCAAAAAGATGCAGGGTGCAGCTGGATTGAGGTAGGAGGTAAAGCATATAGATTTCTTGTTGGGGATGCATCACTGTCAGAATCAAAGAAAATTAGGCAGACATGGATGAAATTGGAGAAGAAAATATGCAAAATTGGATATAAACCTGACACAAGTTGTGTGCTTCATGAACTGGAAGAAGATGAGAAGATTGAGATACTGCGGGGTCATAGTGAGAAGCTTGCAATTTCTTTTGGATTATTAAATACGCCTAAAGGTTCACCGCTGAGAGTTTGCAAAAATCTACGTATTTGTGTAGACTGTCATAATGCTGCTAGATTCATATCAAAGGTTATTAAAAGGGAGATTATCGTACGGGACAACAAGCGCTTTCATCATTTTAGCAATGGGCTTTGTTCCTGTGGAGATTATTGGTAGTTAAAGGTGTAAACAAGTTTATTCGTTGATTTGTCTGGATGTGAAGACTTCCAGAAACCATCAAATAAGTTACAGCTACAGAACTGCTTCTGCTTTATTATTGGATTTGAAACTTCTGTACAGATTAGCAGGTTCTATTTGAAGCCCTCTCAAGGGTTGATAAAAATCAAGCCTGAATCAATGACTGATATGTTTTGACAAAGTAGGGGGGGGGACTTGATTCGATTTCTACTAACTGAATGTTTTCGAAGAGCGAAATCAAACTATTTTGAGGAGCAGACACTTGATGAACCTGCAATGTTCGAAGTTTAGACAATATTAAATGTAAAGCATACAACAAACACGTGCTATTATAATTTTTGTAACTTTTATGTTCGAATTCAATCCCCCCTTCATCATAATAAAGTTCAATCCTACATCATGGAAGTACCTTAATAGATGTCAAAAGCATTATGCTTGTGAAGGCTCTGCTGTGGGGCCATTGGGGATTAACAAGTCTGAGAGAGCTTCTTGGAGAGAGGAAACCTTCTCTTTAAGCTGAACATTCTGTTGAAGCATTTCCTGATTACATTCCAGCAAACTGATGATTTTTCGAGATAGTTGATCATTCATTGCTTGCAAATCATTTACGCGACACTGAAGGGCTTCTATTTGTTGCTTCTTCCGCATTCGAGATTTGCGTGCAGATTCTCTGTTAGAAAGCATTCTTCTTCTCTTCTGGTCATCAACGATAGCTTTTGCTTCATTGTTGCTGCTGTGAAGGGATGCATTTGGAGAGGATTTATGGCGCGGGATTTGAGTCAGACTATTGGGAAGGTGAACTTGTGAGTAATAAAGTGGAATGCAATGTGAGCTTTGAAATGGATCCAAATGAGCAAAGACATGGTACTCTTCCACTGTTTCCATGTTGAGAACAGGTTTCTCAGTTGCAGATGGAAATTGGGGATGCTGGGTTGAGCTGGAATTAGGCACTCCATAGAGTTTCTCAGCATCATGGCCCTCCATGTCCCAAAATTTCAAGGTGGATGTGAGAGAGAGAATAGGAATGAATGACCTGAGGTCTTTTAGATTAATCAGAGAAGTAAGTTTCAGGGTAAAATTCCATTCGTCCATGGAGTATTTAAAAGATAAGACCTTGAATGTACTCAGCAGATGAAGTAAACAGTGAGAGAGATCCCTGAGATTTTTAGAAAATAACATCACTTTCATTGAAATATTAGAAGACATTAGTATTTCTTGGCATTCAAGTAACTAGAGTTATGCCAAGTGCTGTAGTGCAACTTGCTTATGCAGAGGTGGAAAGTTAAGAGTACGAGCAAGATGGAGATTAATAGTAACAAATTGTAGTTGGACCGTCTTGACTGTAATGAATAATGCAAATATGCAATGATCAAGTGGTACAATTGATATGCAAAGAGACAAAAGAAAGTTGACAAGAAATGCAGCATTAATCTCTCAAGGCACTGCCCTTGTCGTTTTCTGACGAAATAAGGCTTAAAAAACACAGTCAGATAGCAACAAAACAAAGACGGGCAAGGCCGGCATCAGCAAAAGCCCATTCTTTGGGTAAAAACAAGGTTGGCCTCTTTATTAGAGGTAGAGGAAGCAAACTGTGAATGAAGCCATTACTGCGCATAAAGCCAGTCAAGTAAAATGCCCTGAATGTATGTGTGTGTGACACAGACGCATATACTTGACTCAAATAGGGATTCCATTTACCACAATCAAGAAAAAGTCTAAAAAAAACTTTGAGAAAATTATTCTCACATCAAATACAAGCAATCTAAATGCATAAAATGTTTATGAAATTTTAAAATTACTCTAACATCTTATATTTTTTTTATTCAAGTTGTCAATTATTATATTAAAGTTATCAGTTACTACTAGATAATTGACAACTAAAGAGCAATAATTACCAATTTGAATAAAGAATGATATTTTCAATTAATTTTGTAATTTCATGAAATTTTTTTATATCTAAATTGCTCATACGAAACCTGGGAGTGATTTTTCCAAATTTTTTATAGTTTCAGGGTAAGTGATACTAATGACAATGTTACGTGACTTGCACGTATTATATAGGAGATTTGAGGCTTTTAAATAGGTTTGTGAAAAAGATACGTGTACAGTGTAATCCCTAGTTATTACATAAACAAAAGTCATTAGAGATGTTAAATCAAAAGCCTATATCAGTTGTAGATATCTTAAATGCACAGTAAACTGCAGGCAATTGAAACGTGGATGTTCAAATTAGCAAAGGTTCATTGAACTAACATTCAAGTGAACTGCTCATCAACTCAAGGGATCTTTCCTGCACCCCAAAATAATAATAATAATAATAATCTCAGTAAATCGACCAAACATCATTTTTATCTAATCGGAATAACAATGATACAGTAATCACCAACTAGATAGTGAAATAGTACCACTTGCTTGGTATAAAAAGAAATATATTTTTAGATTAAAAAATAAGACATAACATTTTATTATATTCTTGAAATCATTATTCAATCATAATCATCATCAAACGTGCATATTGAGATGAAGATTTATCTCTTATTCCCTATTTCTTAGAACTCTCTTAAGTTTTCATGTATACCAAGCATCATATAAAATTCTGAGTCAACTCATCTTATTAAATTAATAAACAGTTAGATTATTATATTGATTTGTTTAATAAAATATTTTGTTTATAACTGGCTTGATCACAGCTGAATTGTGATTTTTTATCATTAATTCTTGAGTTAATACTTTTAACCGGTTCAAATTTTTAGTGATTTACCAAGTATGATCTATATAAAACATGAGTTTAAACTTTTTAAATGCAATAAAAAAATCTTTGAAAATTATTTTCAAACTGTTTACCTAGCTGTTATTGTTTTTATGATTAGCATAAAAGCTTATGATTGGCTGTACAATTTTTTTTTTGAATGGAAAATAGGTGAATATATTAAATCACAGTAAAATATTTACATCAGTCATCAGAGCACCAAAAGGGATCAAATGCACTAATAACAGAACCTATCTTAATAATTTCTCTGAGATGAATATTAACTTCGGTACAAGAAAAATTCAGAGAAACATCCCACTCTCTCAAGATAAGTTTCAATCTCTATCATTTTTCTATAATTTACCACTACAAATATAGATAATTTTCCTAAAATCAAGAAAAATCTCAGAACTTGATAACTACATCTAAAGTATTTTCATTTCATCCCCCATTAAGTATACATATTTTAAATATATACTTCCTCGCACCAAAACTTAATTGGAGTAAAAGAAAAAACCTTGTAATAAAAAATTACTAATATAATTTACAAGCAAAGACAAAAGAAATTAATCATTTTTCTTTTACCTTATAAATAAAACCAGAAAGAATATGTCAAAGCTTCTTCATTCAAGCTTGGTATTAGAAGAATTTCTTCTTCCCTGCAAACTGGTACAGCCAAGTAATTTCACATCCTGAAGCGCTCTGTACAAGCTCATTTTTCCATTATATATAGAGATAACCATTATCCTCATTGCTGAACAGAAAGTCCTATCTTGCTACCCAATGTAAGTCCCAACAAACATATGCAACAACTACTTTCCACAGTATTCCCTCCTGCTTCACTAGCAATACAATTTCGAAGGTCTTGTTATCCAATGCGAACCACGTGATGATGATCGCCACCGCCCAAATTGGATGTTGATCCAGTCATTCATAAATTTCGCCTGCCAATCCATTATGCCCTCAATCTGATAGCATAATTAATCCTTTTAAACAAATTGAAAATACGAAAATAAGGAAAATGAATACAATAAGATAATTGGTGCTTGCTAGTTGCTATGCCTATTTTGCGTTTTTTTTTTTCAAATTGTTTACATGTCATGTAACATTTTAAATTTTTCTATTTTGTAAATTTTAATTTTAATTTTGTAAATTCATATCTGATAATAAGAATTTTGAATATTTAAAATAATTTAAAATTAAAATTAAAGATAATAAAATTTAAATCATTAAACTGGAATTTGAAATTAGTTGGATTCTGCTTTCACTTCTTCATGGATGATGTAATAAGTCGACATAATATACGCCGGCGGCCTGCCCATATCCAAATTGGAAAGATTGATTTAAAAAAAAAAAACCAAAAATAAAAGCAAAAGCAAACGTAGCTCTGATTTTAAAAAAAAAAGAAAAGAAAAAGAGAGACATGGCGTCAGGAGTGACGTGGGAACCCCTCACGTGAAGTGAATCATCAGAAGAGCAGAGAAGTTTCAAAAGCAAACGCAGGGCTCTGGTTTTCATTTATTTCTCCCTCGCTCGTTGTCACTCGGCTCCTGCTTTTACACCATTCGTCAACAAAACACCCTTCCCTTCCCTTCTTATTTATACTTCTCGTCATCTCAGCCTATTCCTATCTTCTCTTCTTCCTCTGCAACATGGCCTCCTCTCAGGACCACGTCCATATCCTCGCCTACCCGTTCCCCTCTTCTGGCCACATTATTCCCCTCCTCGACCTCACCAAACGCCTCGTTTCTCGCGGCATCTACGTCACCGTTTTGATCACCCCTTCCAACCTCCCTCTCCTTCAACCTCTTCTTCCTTCTCACGCCCCTTTCCTCCAACCCCTCCTCCTCCCCGATCCTCACCAGAAGAAGCTCTTCCCCCTCGTCACCGCCACGCGCCACCTTCACTACCCCTTCCTCCTGTCCTGGGTCCAATCCCTTCCTTCTCCTCCCCTCGCCATCATTTCCGATTTCTTCCTCGGCTGGACCCTTCACCTCGCCCGAGACCTCCGTCTCCCCCGTCTCGTCTTCTCTCCTTCCGGCGCCTTCGCCTTATCCTTCTTCTACTCTCTCTGGCGCGACCTCCCTGTCAATCCTGACCCCGGCAGTGCCGACTCTCTCATTTCCTTCCCTAACATTCCCAACTCTCCGCTCTACCCTTGGTGGCAGATCAATCACTACTACAGGCAGAAGAAGAAAGGAGACCCGGAATGGGATTTTCACTGCGAAAATATGCTGGACAACATTGCTAGTTGGGGTGTTGTGTTCAACACTTTCTCTGACTTGGAGCGAGTTTACCTGAATCACATGAAGGCCGACCTCGGCCACGACCGGGTATGGGCCGTCGGTCCCGTTTTGCCACCCAAGTATGACGACGACGAGGGCTCCGCCGATAGGGGAGGGTCCAGCTCCGTCCCATGTGACGAGGTGATGACGTGGCTCGACTCTCGACCCGCCTGTTCCGTGATCTACGTGTGCTTTGGAAGTCGCACAGTTTTGACCAGCCGCCAAATGGAGGTGCTGACCACCGCTTTGGAGGTGAGCGGGGTCCAGTTCATTCTGTCCGTGAGGGGCCCGGATGAGCGACACGTGGGGCAAGACGTCGGCGTCATCCCGGAGGAGTTCGAGAACCGAGTAAGAGGAAGGGGTCTGGTGATTAAAGGGTGGTCGCCACAGCTCGCCATATTGGGTCACGGAGCCGTGGGTTCGTTCCTGACGCACTGTGGCTGGAACTCGGTGCTGGAAGCTCTGATCGCCGGAGTGGTAATGGTGACGTGGCCGATGGGTGCAGACCAGTATACGAATGCGAAGCTGATAGTGGATGAGATGGGCGCGGGGCTCCGAGCCGCCGAGGGGATCACTGAAAACATTCCCGAGGTGGCGGAGTTGAGTGAGGTTATAAAGAAGTCGTTGCTGGAGAATATCACCCAGAGAGTGCGAGCCAGAGAACTGAACGAAGCGGCTTTAGAAGCGGTGGAGCCCGAAGGAAGCTCCCATAAAGAGTTGGATGCTTTGGTGAAGCACTTTCTTGAGCTCCGCGAAGCTGAACGCTGCTTTGATTAGTTCTTTTTTCTCTTTTCGCCAATTTTTTTTTTTGTGTAAGATGCTAATTGTGTCTGCAAGCTGATTCACGTTCTAGATCTTGTCAGTCTGTAACTGTACGTATCATTCATTCTGTAACTGCTGGTTCTTCCCTGGCGTTATATTAAGGGGTGCAAAACTGCAAATGCCCATTTTAATATAAACTTGATTTCTTTCTTTTCTTTTCTTTTCTTTTTTTAGTATATTAAATTTATATTAACTCTTTATTGAGGAAGAGGGACTGACATATAGA